GTTACTCTCACTTTTTTTTGAAACAGATTCTGTCACCCTGGGTAGAGTGATGAGGTGTCATCATAAGTCATAGAAACCTCAAACTCTCAGGCTCAAGCAATCCTCCTTCCTCAGCCTCCCAAGTATCTGGGACTACAGACACTGGCCCACCTAGATAGTTTTTCTATTTTTAGGAGAGATAAAGAGTCTTGCTGTTGCTCAGGCTGGTCTCAAACTCCTGAGCTCAAGAGATCCTCCTGCCTCTGCCTTCCAGAGTGCTAGGCTTATAAGCTTGAGCTAATGCACCCAGACAACTCTTTAGTTTCTATGTACCTCAGTCTTTTCATCAGCCTGAAGGGGACAGAATGCTATCTACTGCCTAGGGCTATAGTGAAGATTAACCAGTTTGTGAAATGCTTGACCCAGGGCCAAACTCATTAGGAAACATCATTTAAGGGGTAGCTGAAATAGAAAATGGTGGATGTAGGTACCTTGACTTCTTTCTGGGGTCTAAGTTAAAAAAGGCTAAAAACTACTACCTTGAAATTCAAAATCCGGCATCTCCAAATTTAGACTTCCACCCAGATTTTACAATCCCTGGAGCACCTCTTTATTTAGAATTATATAATCAGTCGGGGGCAGGGTGGCCTTCTGGGTCTCAGCACCAAGAGTCTGGTATCCCAGGAACTCCCTCAGCTCTGGGTGAAGTCATTCTTGCTAAGCTCCCTCCCTACCCCATCATGCCCACACCTGAATTGTATGTAAGCTCTGAGATCACTCTTTCCTCCCCAGCCTGAGCTCCCGAACAATAGGGACTGGCACCCAAATTGGTGCTCAACTCATGTTTACTGAATGAATGATGCTAAGGGCTCAAGCCTGAGATCTTCAGGGATATTACAGCTCCATGGAGTTCTCCATCCCTAACAGTTTCATGGGATCACAGCAAAACAAGTATACAAACAAGCAGTGGAAGACAGCAGCATGTCCTTAAAGGGAGAAATAGGGGCTTCTTACACAAATCGAGGGAGGAAGGTGGTGCAGGGCCACCTTATGAAACACTATCACACCACTTCCTGCTTTGCGGTAGTTTCTATCCGTGTCCCCAAATCAGAATGTGGTGAAGCCAAGGAGAGTAACCTTGAAGATCTGAGATTATGTGCAGAGCTGGACAATAATGGACCCAAAGGACCTGACTCAAGAGGAAGAATAACCAGGGTAGTTGTTTAGGGGCTCCTGAGAACCTTCTGAGTGCCTTTGGTGACACCACCACAGTCCTGCCAACACCCTTGACATGTCTGGTCCCAGGGCAGGGACCAGTTCATTTCCTGAGTGCTCCATGAGCAATTTTTACAGATCTTCCCTGTGCAAGCTATACCTTGTAGCTCTGGCATTCTACATAGGACGTCTGGGAGACTGTGTGTTGAGGCCATTTGCTCAGCTACCACCCCCTACTCCCCATGGCCTTCATTCCAGCGGGCAGGGCTGGGTCCGCAGCCCCCAGGTACTGAACTCTGCTTCCAGGGCAGATGGGCTCAGGAGTGCCCTCTGCTGGGCACACAGGCAAACCAGCTTTAACATCCTCTTTAAATAGGCCAAGAGGGTTGCCAGTTGCTGCAAATAAAAACACAGGTTACCCTTGCTGAGTCCTAATGCCTATGCAAAATAAATAAATAAATAGAAAATACAGGGAACCCAATTAAATTTGAATCCTAGAAAAGCAACAAACCATATCACATGGAATGTACTAATGCTTAAAACATGTTTGTCTATAATTCAAATCTAATTGAGTGTCCTGTATTTCATCTACAAACCAGAAAAACAAAGACCACAAGGAAAAGAAGGACAGGCAGAACAGGGGGGTCAGGTTAGTGTGGGCCCAACAGTCACATTCCAGAGCCCTTCCATTTTCCATAAGGCCCCCTGGAGAAGCTGAGACTCTGGGGACACTGGCCTTCAGGACTGCCAGCTGTGGCAACTTCCCCCACTCCCCACATACACAGAAACTGCCTTAGGATGTCCAGTCTCCTGAGGCCTGGTGCTCTCAGGCCCAGGGACTGGAATTGGCTTTGCTTCCTGATACCCAATTGACTCTCCAACAGATTTCCACATTTGGTTAGAATGCAGTTCACAAAAGATCTTCATCCCACTATAAAGAGAAAAGATTAGACTAACACAAACTAAAAAGCACAACTTTTCTTTATAGCCATGAAAGAGCTGAGGACAGTAAGTCTGTTCCAGAAAGGGATAAATTCTTCCAGGATCAGCTAAGACCAGTGTCCAGTGTTGGTCTTAGGGGGCGGGGGTGGCTGGTGTGTCTGACACAGCTGGAGGAGTCCACACACAGAGCCAGTGCTGCTGGCAGGAAGTGCCTGACTCCACTACCCAACAACTAAACCAGAGGTGAACCTATGCTCAAAAGGCAGCAACCCAAGCCAGCCCAGGTCTTGGGCCCAAGGAAACTCGCGTATCAACCCAGATGGCAAGGGCAAGCCCTTCCTGGGGCAAAACAGTATCTACTTCACTCCTTCACTGTCTTTTTATACACAATATCTAGAATACAATCAGAAACACAAGATACCACTGTCAAGAAAAGAATATATAGCAATGGTTTCTCCCAACTCTATCTTATCTTAAATAAAACTAAATTTCCCTAAAGCAAACTGTACCACCTCAAAAACTACTACGCTCCGCAATACCTCCCCAAATGTTCAATTCCTTAAACTCAAGGGGAGGTGCTCCACCATCTGGCCCTACACTACCCTTCTGAGTTGGTGCTTACCCGCACAAATGTGATGTCCTTGTCTCAAGATAGCTGCCATCCCTCCTGGCCCACATACAGTTTGCTCTTGCTGTTTCATTTACCCAGAATGCTAGTTTTATATAAGGCTGTTCTGCTGCTGATAGTGAACAAGTGATCCAAGCTGGGACAACCAGAAAACTCCTTCCACCTGCCCAACTACTGATTCCATTATGGTGATGTCACCTAAGAATGCATCTTACCAACTTTTGATGTTATCTGCTGGGAAAAACACACCTCACAGGAAGTGTGTCTAGAACTCCTAGAGGCCATCTCAGTCACCATAAAGTGAATGAGAAGCAGCAAAATATCACAATGATAATGTTCAACCCCTGAAATCTGTTCCTGAAGCCCCTGACACCTCCACACTGTCCCAAGGGGATAATAACCTCTACCACACATCAAGACAAATACTGGCAGAACAGAAAATGGCAGGAAAATGTGTCTGTTATAAGAAGCTTATGCGAAGCATGGTGAGCAGCAGGCCTGGTCAGAGAGAAGCCTGACAGAACATTTGTCTAAATCAATACTAGATGACTGGTTTAAAAAATAACATACAGGCTGGGCACTGATGGCGTACGCCTGTAACCATAGCACTCTAGGAGGCCAAGGAGGAAGGATTACTTGAGGTCAGGAGTTTGAGACTACTCTAAGCAATACTAACACCCCATCTCTACTAAAAACAGAAAAAATTAGGTGAGTGTCAGTGGGCTCACAGCAACCTCAACTCCTGAGCTCAAGCAATCCTCCTGCCTTAGCCTCCCAAGTAGCTGGGACTACAGGCACCCGCCACAATGCTGGGCTAATTTTTCTATTTTTAGTAGAGAAGGGGCTCCTTGCTCATGCTGGTCTTTAACTCCTGAGCTTAAGTGATCCTCCTGTCTTGGCCTCCCAAGAATGCTAGGTTTACAGGTATGAGCCACTGCAAAAGGCCAAAAAACATACATCTTTATTTATTTGGTTTTTGCAGTTTTTGGCTGGGGCTGGGTTTGAACCTGCCACCTCTGGTATATGGGGCCAGTGCCCTCCTCCTTGAACCACAGGTGCTGCCCCAAAACATACATCTTTAAAAAGCTATGGAAAGTCACAAGATAACCACCACATACCCATTTCAAAGGCCAAATTGCAAAACAATGACACTACCAAATGCTGGTAAGAATGTGGAGCAACAGGAACTCTCATTCCTTGCTGGTGGGAATGCAAAATTACACCACTACTTTGGGAGACAGCTTGGCAGTTTCTCAATAAACATACTCTTACCATATGGTCCAGCAACTGTGTTCCTTGGTGTTTATCCAAATGTGTTGAAAACATATGTCCAAACACAAACTTGTACATGTACTTTACAGTAGCTTTATTCATAACTGCCAAGACTTGGAAACAACTGATGTCCTTCAATAGGTGAGTGGATAAATACACTGATGTATCCAATGGAGTGTTACTCAGTGAGAAAACAGATGAGCTACTAAGCCATGAAAAGACACGCGTATGAAAGAAAGCAATCTCAGAAGACTACATACCATCTGCACACATCAAGGCACATCCTCACCAAACTCTCAAAACCAGCAATACAGAGAAAAATCTTAAAGCGGTTAGGAAAAAATAGTCAAGAGAAAACCTCCTGTTGGGAGCAGTGCAAACTAGAAGACAAGTCCTGAAGGAAAATGTAAACAAGATCTGAGTTCTGGGAGGCCCTCAATCTCCCACACCTAGTGCATGAATACTCCCTGCCCTACTCACCTTCTGCCCCAATGGGGCTGTCACCCTCCAGCTGTAGGACCACCACAGGAAGCCAGGAACCCACAGGTGGCCTCCACACCAGGAGTGAAACTCAGTCTCTTTGCTCACTGTCCCTGAGCCTACCCAGTCCCCATGCTGTATGCCCTCAGCCCCCTCCTGGAGACGTGGGGCCCCTTCCCACCTCTGAATGGGCTCTCTACCAGCCCATTTTCCTTCAGGTTCTGGCTCAAATGTCACTTCCAGGAAGCTGCATGACCACTTCTGCCCAGAAGTGGTCCCTGCCCATACCCCATCATTACAGCTAAGCTTTCTTCATTGGTGTGGACAGTATCCAACCTGCCATGTTGTCTCCCCACCAGATCGCCTGCCTGTTGGTCATGATTCATCCTGGATCCCAAGGCAGGCCCAGGGTCCACTGGAGACGACAGTGAGGACTGACCTGCAACTCCCAGTCCCCCTCCTCATCCAGCACAAGGCACCCCCAGGCTTCAAATCAAGTTTAATAAATAAAACAGCAAGAGGGGTTCAAGGCAGTTATCACTTCACAGTGTGGTCCTTGGTGGGGGTGAGGGATGGTCGAGTCCAATTCTAAAAGGGCTCGAGCAAAACAACACTCTGGATGATGCAGGACTGGGCAAGCTGCCCTGCCCCTGAGGACCTCACTCCAACTTGTAAACAGAAATATAAATAAAACGAAGGAGGGGGGGAAAGAGGAGGACAAGGACCCCAAACCACCTTGCTGGGAAACTTCCAACAGAAAGACCTACAGGGTCTGGCAAATGGGCTAGAGTCCGACCCCTTGGTGTCAGTTCGGAAGGCTCCCTGCCTTGGTGCCAGGAGAAGGGCAGCAGGGGTATAGGTGACCTGTCTCCTCAACCCACACCCAGGGCTGCTAAGGGGCCCCCAGCCCAACTCTGATCTGGGACCAGGGGTGGAGAGAGGGAGGAGGCAGGTGGGGTGTAAAGTGCGGCTTTTCCTGAAGTGGAGACAACAGGGGTAGGGGGTGGGGCCGGGTGGGGGCGGACAGCGAGGTATATGGCTCTGTGCCCCTGGGATTTGGCACTGAGTAGCAGCTGCCCGCCGATCCCCAGGGCTGGGGTAGCCCAGTGGCCCGGCCAGGGTGGGGAGACAGAGCAAGCAGGGCCGAGGGTGCCCCGGGCGGAGGCTGCTGGTGCGGGCAGGGCATCCTGCCGTCTCCCCTTTTGTCTCTGCTGGCTGGACAGGCCCAGGCAGTATCTCTGCCCTACATCCGATGGCCAGGCCCTCTCTGAACCTGCTGCAAAGGGGGTCCCGCCGGATGGCAGTGCCAGGCGCTGATGGGAGGGGACCCACATGGCCTGGGGTCCAGTCTGTGTGGAGAGGGGCAAGGGCCTAAGACCTGGCCACCTCACCCTGGTCCTGACATGTTCTGAAGCAGAGAAGGCGCTGCCCTGGGGCCTGAGGGAGGAAGGGGTCAGGAAGACTGACAGAGGCTGGCCCGGTGGCAGCGCCAAGTCCAGTCCAGGCCACACATGTCCACTCATGGCCAGGAATCAACAGGTCATCACATTACAGCTGTAGGGAAGAGACCGGAAGGACCAGAGAGGTCAGTGTAGCTCCCACTCACACCAGGCCCAGCCTCTCCTCCCCAAAGACAGCCTATGTCTTGCCTGCCATCTGAACAGACCAGGCAGCAGTGCCTAGTGAGCCCAGCCCTTGCCCCCACTGCGCCCTCTGGATTCTGAACCATATATATAAAATTACAAGCAGAGAATAAAACTAAAGAAACTGAGCCTGCTCCATGTGGCCACACTATTCCAGGACAAACTCCCCTGATCCCTCAGCTCAGCCCGCTCCAGGCTGGGGGCAGTACTCACTGTGACAGGGGCTCTGTGTGCAGCCCAGGGGCAGGGCACGGTGAGTGGGCAGCCAGGAAGGGGTTCACATCCCCAATCCCGATGAGTCCAAACTCAGTGACTGATAAGGCCACCTGTGCAGGAGCCACAGCCTCCTCGGGGTCTCCACTCAGATCCACACGGCTGGAGATAAGGGGCAGTTCTTCGGGCAGGGCGAAGTCCACAGCCAGTCTCGGGCTGACATCTGGCTCTGGAGTGGCAGTGGCTGATGGGTATGAGGTTGGGTCAGCCAGGGCTGGGGGCCGCCTGGGCAGGGGCACAGCAGGGGGGTCGTCCAGCTGCTGGAATGGGCAGGGTCCTGGCTCTGAGGACAGGAGGCCATCAGCACCCGCATCAGGCTCACCAAGACCACCGGCCGTGCCATCCACATTCAGTGGCTCTGTGTGGGGGCAGAGCACAGTTGAGGGCCTGGCTGTCCATAGGTGCCAGGCTCCCCACATCCTGCTGAAGGTATAGAGGGTCCCACAGAGGACGCATCTCTCTTAGAATCACACATGCACTCCAAGTTGTGACCCATGCAGGGCTTCTGCCTAACATGTTATGTCTAACAAAGCCTATGGACCTCTCCTCAAGAAAGTGTCCATACACATACACAAAATACAAACAAGCACAAAAGAAGCCCATTATACTAAAACCAGCAGATGCCCAGGTTGGTAGCCCCAGCTTTAGAAGGTCATAAAATCAACTGAACAGGTCACAACTGATATCTTTAAAAGTAGAACAGAATATGACTGACAGTGATTTTTTAAATGCTCAAGGCACTGCAAGGTAAGGGCAAATGGGGGATTCTGTGGCCATTTTGTTCCAACATACAGTACACAGGTGTCTTATGTGCAAATGCAAACTAGGTAGTCATGGACAGCTCTGGGCAAAACAGGAGACCAATTAGGATCTGCAAATAGGTGACCCTTACTAGACTTGACCCCCTAAACAAAAAGACATGTTTTCCTCTACAGGTCACCTTCAAAAACTGAGCATGCAACTAGGCTGGGCAAAGCTCAGAGATGTTCCCATCCTGCCTGATGCCTGGGACTGAACACCCTCACCAGGGCAGGCCAACCCTCCACAGACCGAGCCCTGAAGTGGAGCTCCTGTCCTCACAGCTCCTGGACTATCTGCTGCCCCACACCTTACCTGTGCACAGCCCTGTCAGGGTGTCATGCTCAGGGCGTGAGCGGCCAGGGCCATCAGGGTCGCTGCTTTCCAGGTCCTGATCAGTGTCCCTGTGAGGAGAAGGTCCCATGAGAGACAGGGCAGCAGGGAGGTGAATACCCCACCCGGGTGGCCACCCAGGTTGCCCCACCATGCCCACCCCCGGGCTGCGAGATTAAGGGGGCAGCCACCGCATCGTTACTGCTGAAAGCAGCGCTGCACGCACGTGGTTCCGGACGGGACGTACTTCCTCCGGCCCAGCCGTGTCTGCTGGGCAAAGTAGTCATAGCGCTCCGACTTCTTCCACAAGTAGTAGTACTCCACACATTCACCGACTGACCGCGTGCGCACCTGTTGAATATAGGATGAACGTCATCATGGCCCCAACCAGAGTCCCTTTCTGGTGTGGAAGCCCCCTCTTCCTTTTGCAGCAGCAACACCACAAATGAATTCTCCAGGTTCCCTGTCCAGTGTCTGCCTCCTGCACCCCAGACTGTAGGCTCCCAGGATGGTTTTGCCCACTTGGCTGCTCCCCACAGGCCCAGGCTGGGGTGGGAACAAAGACCTGAGGCTTATGGATGGAGCCCTGCCCAGGGAGCCTGCTCTCCTGCTGAACACATTGCTCTGATGTTTTTTGTGAAAATTTCCTGAGTCTATATAAGACACCATCTAAGGATACACACAGGTTCTGTGAACCCCAGACTCAAAGCTGTATTTATGCGTCACATTAATGCAAAACTAGTGCAGGTTCACTCTCAGTGCGTCTGACATGGAGATACCTCCTGTGCCATCTGGGGTGTGCGGGGCAGCCCAGAGTACTCAGATGAACCTTCACTCAGGGGGCTCCAGCCACAGCAAGCTTGGGCTGACAACACAGCTGGCAAGAACAGAAAAGATCTGGGATAACAAACCTGCTACCAACCAGAAAGAGGGATGCTGACACCAGGCACCGACCCTTGGAGAACCATGCAAAGGCCCGTCTGGCTTAGCCAGCCCTGCCTGGGAGGAAGACTGAGGCCACCTCTCTGGAGGACAAACTTCAAATGTATGTGATGAGCAAGGCTTTTCTGTATGGGCCAGGCTTTGTGGGCCACACACTCCCCTGTCAATATGTGAGTAGGTGTGCCAGCCAACACATCCCGTTACGGATGCAGTCCAGTGAGTTGCTCGGATGTACTTTGCTGAAGTCTAACAAGAAGAGAAACCATTGCTTGGCACAAGTGCTCACCTGAGCAACTCCTGTCCCCTACAACCAGGCCCAGACAGGCAACTCCACACTCTAGCCCTTCTACTGAAGAGTGGAAGAAACCAGGTTCCAGGACCCAAGGCTGTAGCAATGAGAATGCAGCAGTCTGTGCGCTGAGAGAACAAGAAGGCCACCCAGATGTTGGGGGGGAGGCAAGAAGGCTGTGGTCAGAGGCCCAGGAAGGCATTCAGAGAGATGTCTGGGGTTGCTGCAGAGGGGCCATGACACTGCCAAGAGGTTGTCACTCAAGAAGCCAAAGGGCAGAAGGTACTTTTGCAAAACGTGTCTAGGGAAGGCCAGAAGGACCCAGCACGCAGCAATACCTGTCTATCATGAGGGTCCTTGGAAAAGAGAACCAGATCTGAGTTCTTGGTCCCCAGGGCATCAGGTAGAAGTGGGGTCCAGACTGAGGGGTTGGTATTAGGCTCTGCTCTGAGGACATGGAGAAGACAACACAGTGCCCATGCCCTGGGGCAGAGCATGAGACAGCAAAGACTACTAGAATTAACCTTGGGCTCGGCACCTGTAGCTCAGCGGCTAGGGCACCAGCCACATACACCGGAGCTGGTGGGTTTGAATCCAGTCCAGGCCTGCCAAACAACAATGACAATTACAACCAAAAAGTAGCCAGGTGTTGTGGTGGGTGCCTGTAGTCCCAGCTACTTGGGAGGCTGAGGCAAGAGAATTGCTTAAGCCCAAGAGTTTGAGGTTGCTGTGAGCTGTGATGCCATGGCACTGTACCCAGGGGGACATAGTGAGACTGTGTATCAAAAAAAAAACAAACAAAAAATACAACCAGAATTCACCTTTGGCAAATTCTTTCCCCAAACTGCAGCCTGGTTCTTTTGGTAGCTGGTACGGGCCCAGAAGACTCGGCAAAGACCTCAGGCAAGGGACTGATGGGCACATGGTAAGGCACAGAGGTGCAGGGGCTTCAGGCCTGGAATTGGCTGTGTCTTTTGTGAGCCTGCTGCACCCCTCACCTGCCACTAGGAACGCAAGGTAAGGATACCCAGGCCCCTCCCCAGATCAAGGAGGCCCTGGCACAGCCTAGCCAGAGGAGAGCAACAGCACCCTCACCTTGTTGGCCTGGATCAAGTGGAAGTTCTTCCCATGTACACGGAAGCCATGTTCAAAGTTCCTGCACTCTTCTTCACTCCAGGCACACAGCCCGTCTATAAATAGGGAGGTGGTGGGGTCAGGTCAGGTCAGCTGTGCCCAGGACAGGGCAACAGTGGAGAGGGAACCTGGGCTGTGGCTCACCTCTGACTACCTTCACGTTGAACCGCAGCCTTCGCAGGGCCTCTTCCACATTGAAGTTGCACTTTACCAGCTCATACAGCGCCTGGAAGAAAAACAGTGATTCTTCCCTCATCACTCCAGGACCCAACAACAAGGAGCACCTGTACCATCATCCTGGGAGTGAACTAGGGGCATTCACACCACCATCCCAAAGATGATACAGGGCAACAGGGCATTTACATCATCATGCCAGGAGTGAAATCAGGGGTGTCTACACCACATCGCAGGAGTGATACAACACTATCCCCGGAGTGACATCAGGGAGCACATCTGCTCTCCATGATCTGTGTCTTGCTCATGCTGAGCAGGCAGCCCTCTCCCTGCCACCTGGCCTGTCCCTCCCCTCATTCAGCCCTGCCTGGCCCCTTGAGGCAGCAGTAGTGTTTCTCCTGGCTAAGGGCCTGCAGCCCCAGTGTCCAGTGCAGCCCCACCTGCTCGCTGTCTTTCACCGTTTCTCCTTCTGGGAGCTGGGACCCAGCCACCTCATGCCACCTCCGCTTCACTGCTCTGTACAGGAACTCCTCCACTTCCCTCTCAGGAAGGATGCTGGGGTCCCAGAGCAATTGGTCTTCATTCTCATAGACTGCACAAGAAGAGGGCAAGGGTCATGTCCAGTCCTAGGTGTTCACTGTGCACTCAGGATGAGCAGGGCGGGCTATCTCAGCAACTCCAGACGAGCACAGGCGCCACTATACTCCCCCCTCTCCTGCAGCCAGAGCCTACCATCACCCACTCCTCTTGCACCTGGTGCAGCTGAACTCAATTCAATGGAACAAGGTGGGTACCCAAATTCAGGCCTCAAGGCCAGATGTGGGCAGCTGGCAGAAGTATCTGATAAGCAGTCTAGCTAAGGGCAGTCGTTTCCATGGGCACTGGCATCCTAGTCATAGGCTCTCAGGAGCCTGAGTAAAAGTATGTATTGTCAGAGGGAAGATATCCTGCCCACATCCTGCCCACAGGGGCAGAAGATACCCTAAGAGAGGGAGAGAAGAAGTGAACTCTGGATGCAGCACAGGGAAGGGGCAGCCTCCAACTGGGAGAAAAGATACAAAAATTTTAAAGAAAGAAGCAAAACTACTGTTAACAAAAGAAATGATTGTATACATAAAAAAAAATCTACAAAGTATTAAAATTAGTAGTTTAGCAAAGTCATTACGTATAAGATCAACTAAAATAATAAACTGCATTTCTACTAACACAAAGTAGAAAATGAAGTGGGTTTTCTTTTTTTTCTTGGTTTGAGACAAAGTCTTACTTTGCCACCCTGAGTAGAGTGCTGTAGCATCATAGCTCACAGCAACTTCAAATTCTTGGGTTCAGGCAATCCTCTTGCTTTAGCCTCCCAAGTAGCTGGGACTACAGGCATCCACCACACCAACTACCGTGTTTCCCTGAAAATAAGACACTGTCTTACATTTATTTTTTCTCAATAAGACACACTAGGGCTTATTTTCAGGGGATGTCTTCCTCTCTGAGCCAAATGCATGCGCATCTGCTGAGCCACGCCCACCACTAGGTCTCATTATTGGGGTAGGTCTTATTTTTGGGGAAACAGTGTATTTTTTAGAGATAGGGTGTCACTCTTGCTCAGGCTGGTCTCAAACTCCTGAGCTCAGGCAATTCACCCACCTTGGCCTCCCAGAGTGCTGAGATTACAGGCATGAGCCACTGTACCTGGCCTTGCTTTTATTTTCTTGAGACAAAGTCTTGCCCTGTTGCCTAGGCCAGAGTGCCATGGCCTCAGCCTGGATCACAGCAACTTCAAACTCCTGGGCTCAAGTAATCTTCTTGCTTCAGCCTCCCCAATAGCTGGGACTATAGACATGTGCCACCACACCTGGCTAATTTTTCTATTTTCACTAGAAATGGAGTCTCCCTCTTACTCAGGCTGGTCTCAAGATCCTGAGCTCAAGTGATCCTTCTACCTCAGCCTCCTTGAGTGTTAGGACTACAGGTGTGAGCCACTGGATCTGGCCAAAAACGAAATTAAAAAAAAAAAAAAAAAATCCGTGCTTGCTTCGGCAGCACATGTACTAAAATTGGAACGATACAGAAAAGATTAGCATGGCCCCGTGCAAGGATGACACCCAAATTTGTGAAGCAGTCCATATTCTTCTGTCCAAAAAAAAAAATCAAAAAATCCTACCACTCTGGGAGGCCAAGACAGGAGAATTGCTTGAGCTCAAGAGTTTGAGACCGGCTTGGCGCCTGTGGCTCAGGTGGCTAGGGCGCCAGCCACATACACCCAGGGTGGCGGGATCGAATCCAGCCCGGGCTGCCAAACAACAATGATGGCTGCAACCAAAAAATAAAAAATAAAAAGAGTTTGAGACCAACTTGAGCAAAACTGAGACACCCATCTCTACTAAAAATAGAAAAATTAGCTGGACATCACAGTGGGCACCTATAATACCAGCAACTCAGGAGGCTGAGGCAGGAGGATTACTTGAACCCAGGAGTTTAAGGTTGCTGTGAGCTAGTCTGATGCCACAGCACTCTAGCCCACGTGACAGAGTAAGACTCTGTCTCAAGAAAAAAAATCCTTTATAACAGTACCAGTAAATAAGTCTAATGAAATGGACAAGACTGCTACACTGAAAACTATAAAACACTGCTAAAATTAAAGAAATTAAAAAGTTTTATTTACGGGCGGTGCCTGTGGCTCAGTGGGTAAGGCGCCAGCCCCATATACCAAGGGTGGCGGGTTCAAACCCAGCCTTGGCCAAACTGCAACAAAAAAATAGCTGGGCGTTGTAGTGGGCACCTGTAGTCCCAGCTACTCAGGAGGCTGAGGTAAGAGAATCACCTAAGCCCAAGGAGTTGAAAGTTGCTGTTAATAAGTGAGACTCTGTCTCAAAAAAAAAAATCTGTATACATATAAAAAAATGTTTTGTTTACATACTATATAACACTAAAGTTAAGGATCTTTTTTTTTTTTTTTTTTTTTTTGAGTCTCA